ATGCCATGCCCGCATGGGGATAGGTGACGTGACATGTGGTATAGAAAAGGATATTCTTCTTTAGATGGCACTGTGCGCCACAGCATCTTGCACACACACTGCAGCATACGACACAGAGTCGTTTGTCTCTTTTTTTTTATGTTCAAGTGGTTTGACTTCGCTTCAAACTTAATTCTCAAGTTAAAACCATAATCCAAAACACCCATTAGCTTTTTGTAACACACTACATTAATTTACATAACTAACCTCTTTTATCTAGCTAATTAGGGGTCAATTTTTTTTTTTCAAATGTTACAGAATGAGAGAAGAGAAAAGAATAGAGACAAAGAGTAGATATAGAAAAAGGATAGAGACAAAAGAAGAGGAGAAGCAAATTGTTATTCATTTAAAGAGACGTGCAAAGCAAATATATTAAGGCACTATTTACAAACCCTAACCTAACCTTGAAAATAAAAACATTAAAAGCACAATATTCTACAAATCTTAATAATTAAATGCAAATATTCTAAAATAATTTAATAGATAACCTAGTAATTTAAAATATTATAACCCAGTAATATAAAATATTACATTCATTCAAATCAAATCTTAAGATCATTCTACTAGAATAAAAATCTTTAATCTAATTAATTTTATATCCCATCATTTCTCCCTCATTTGAAGGAACTCTCCTTTAGAGAGTAAAATTGATTATGGCTACAGGGAAGTAAGATGTAAACATAAGATTCCAACAAAAGATTCCATGATCGCATGTCATGGCATGTGTAGCCGCATCTAGTAATGATTTTTGATAGACAAACAACGTTTAGATGTGGGACATAATGATGACGATGATTTAAAGATTCAATTGGTAGATGTGGCGATTATCTAACTTCTGATAATAAGCTGAATACATAAAATTTCATGTTTTATAAGCAATGAAAGGGATATGGTTTTAGGAAGATCTTTTAGAGAGAAAGTTTAACAGTAGAAGTAGGGTGAAAATTAGGCTTTGATACCAATTGATGCAGGACAAGAGTGAAAAAGAAAGAAAAGAATAGAGAAATATAGTAGAGACAAAAGAGATAGAGATAAAAAGAAGATAGAGATAAAAGAAGAAGAGGAGCAAATCAATATCAATTCTTATTCATTCAAAAGAAGTACAAAGCAAATATATTAAGGTGCTATTGATAGATCTTAACCTAACTCTAAAAAAACCATTAAAAGCATAATATTCTATAAATCATAATAAATAAATGCAAATATTCTAAAATAATTTTTTAAAAAAAACCTAATAAACTAAAAGATTACATTTATTCAAATCAAATTTTAATATCATTCTAATAAAATAAAAATCCTCAATCTACTTAATTATCGGAAAAATAGTAATCAAGGACCATTGGAGTGAATGTATATCAATCAAGGATAACTTATTCTTAAAACCTGAATAGATATTTATTGATTTGGATTAATATTTTATCAATAAGTGTTCATTCGAGTTTTAACAACAACTTATTTTATATTAATAACAGTCCATTCGGGCTTTAACAATAACTGATATTTAATTGATATAAATTTGCTCAAATGGTTCTTGATTACTATTTTCCTCAATTCTATATCCCATCACCTAGTTTGGCTTGAAACTTTTTTAAAGGTCTACTTTGTACACAGGCTTTTAAAAAAGTGCTTCGAAATTTAGATCTTGAAGTCTTTAAGTAAACATGGAGCTATCAAAGCCTATATTTTTTATGTAGGCCTTCTTCAAAGCCTACATATTTAAAATTTTAAATAGGTTTAAAAACTTAAAACTTATTTAAATATAATATGATATATAAATATATAAATTTGAATATAATATATAAATTAGATAAGTATACCTAAATGCCTGACTTTAAAAATTCATGCTTAACTTGTTAAGATATATTGTTCTCTTATTAAGCCTCAAGTTTAGCTTGCTTATAAGTAAGAAAGAATTACAGCCAACTCCTTCTTAAAAAAATTAATCATAAAAAAAAAACCAATAATAAATTTTATTTTAAAAAATAATTCATAATTCATATTTTAATGATAATTTATTTTTTATTCATCTTTATTTGTAATTAATTTTTTTAAGAGAAGCTTAACTGTAATTTTCCCTGTAAATAAATCATGCTAGGCCAAATCGCAGGTTGCTTGTTAGGAGTTTGACCTATTCTGACTCCTTTTGTTTTTTTTTAATAAAATGACCAACTCTGACTCTTATTATCATACTAACGAAAAAGACACAAAGACACGCCAGGGTTGAGCATTAGCTTTCTTTGATCACTTGTTTTCTTCAATCCCTGTGAATAGGGAGAACCTGTATGCAAAAGATAAGGACTTTCGTCAGGTGGCGTGGCACTCTAATCTGAATGGCTTATCAATATGAGCCACGTCTTTATTGTGACTTTTTCTTCATTTAAATATTTGTATTTTAATAAATAGTTATAAATAAAATTTCTTCATTTATGGGAAAACTTGAAACATTTTTTAAAATGTTAAATATATTATTCACAACAATATTTAAATTTGTTATAAATCATTGATTCCCATCCTCTTTTTACCTGTGATTTAAAAAAATCATAAAATAATTTAAATTTTAATTTCTTTATTTCTTTTCTCTATTTCTCCTTCTCCTTCTTTATTTTTTTAGCTAGCGATAAGCTAGGTGGCGTTTTAGGTCCCATGCATGAAGAATGCCATGTATACTACTCGCTTAAGTCGTTCCTTTTGCGTCTGTAGTTCACTTCTTTTTATTTTATATTTTAATTATCCTTATCTATATTCATTGTATGTGTTTCAAATTTTCAATCATTGATAATTGACATCTACTCACGTCCTATCACACATCACCTCACCTTTAACCCTTGAATTAGCATTAAGTGACATTTTAATCTCTTTCTTAAAGTGGCATTATCTTTTTCTTGTTAAACAATAATTTAATTTATGTTTGATATTTTTATTTTTTTCTTTTTTGTGAAAAGAGGGGGCTAAGCCCCTATAGTTCAATATCTTTATTTAATTTGAATATTTCTTTAAAAATCAAGATATTCAAGAAAATATAGAGTAACATATTTCGTTTGTTTTAAATTATAAAACAATCTAAGACAATATTTCGCATATCATAAAGCTCAACAATACATTTTACAATAATATTTTTTTAAAAAAAATATAATTATTAGTTCCTATAATTTTATTAAATTTTATTGTTAGTTGTTGTAACTTTTTTCAATATTTTCAATACTTATAGGGATAAAAAAAATTAAAACTATAAGAATTTGAGTAACAAATATCAACAAATTTTGTTAAAATTATAAAAATTAAAAATATTAAAAAAATTATAAGAACTAAAAACAAAACCTGATTAAATTATAGTGATCGATAATTGTATTTTTTCAAATGAAAATATAAATTTTTAAAAATATTCATTATTAATATAATTTTAAATCTATCATTATTACAACTCTTTATCTGCTTGAAAGATAATATTAAAAAATATTATTAGTAAAATGTTGTTATTAAGTTATTTTATATTTTAAAATAATAAAAACTCTTTAATATTATTTTTATAATTTGGGGTGGAAATGGTATATAGAAATAAAAAAATTTTAGGTGAAAAAGAGAGAATGGCGTCTCATAATTGAGCGATGATGGCGATTAACGGGTTAAGTAATTCATGGGAAACGCACTGCACCGTAGAAGGATAACATCTAGTCAAATCAAACTCATATCACATCTCTCACGGGGGGAAAAATATCATATCGCATCTACCACCACATCAGTTTTTCACATGTTGTTTGTCTCTTTAGTCTTTACTACTCATTGAGTCATGGGGTCCACCTCTTGGAATACACGACAAGTAACACCGTAAAAGAAGTACAGTTCTCTCGTGAATGAGTTTAAATTCTCCGTCTGCCTGTATCGTGGGAGAGTTATATTTCGGGGAAATGAAAATTATATTTCGAAAATCTGTTAAAAATTCAAGATTTTTTAATTATTAATAAATATTCTTCTATTAGAGTTAATCCTATTTAAAATATGATTGAATTCTAAATGTGAGTATTTCTGTTAACAAAAATATTCAAATATTAATTTATTATGTTACGAGGAATTAATAGCCTGTTTGAATTGACACTATAATCAATTTTGAGGTCTAAATAATTAATTTTTGAAAAAATTATTCAAACAATAAAAAAATTTGATAATTAATTGTTGAGCTAAAATCATGTTTTGAAATAATTTATAGGAGGTTGTTTATTGATTCAATTTTACTGTTAAATAATATATTTTATTTTTAAAATAAAGTTTAAAAAATTTAAATATAACTTTATTAATAATTTAATTTTAAAAAATAATATCCCTTAGGGTAATTTGTACAACTAAAATAAATTTTAGTATTCAAACAGATTGCATTATAACCTAATCAATTATAATTAAAATTAAATATATTAATTAATTATTTTTATAATCAATTATACCTAACTTAAATCTTTAACTCATTCTACTAAACCTAACCCTATTGATATAAATTTAAGAATTTTAATTATATACAAGATACTCTTTCTGTTTTTATATATAAGAGAAGTTGTTATACACTTGTTGTTTTGTTTTTTTTAAATAAAATTATATATTTCAATAAGTATTTACTACGAATGCTTTGCCCTTAAAGCATAATGAGGGGTTTTTTTTGTCTTAGAAGAAAGTTGGAGGTATTGGGATTGTTCGCAGATAGTTTTTTTGGGTGGACTAGCAATGAAGGTGAAGGTGAATTCAGCCTTTCTGGCCGAATGTTTAGCCCTTAAAAAAGCTCTTGGTTTGGGTGGCAAGTTTGTAGGTCTGCATGTTTGTATTGAGACAGATTGTGAACTTCTTTTCAAGCTTCTCAGTTTGAGATCTGTGGATTGGTGTGAGTGGAAGTATGTAAACTTGTTGCATGAAATTTGTTCCCCGTTGGAATCATTTCCTTGCGTTTCTTTTTCCCAGTTTCGTTGTCGAGGGAATTCTGCTGCAGATCTGCTTGCAGCCAAAGGTGCTGGACGGCTTCTTGAAGCACCATCTCCTCTGGTACCGATTCTTTTGACTGATTCCAAAAGGTTGCACTGTTCAAGCGGTGGGGTTTGAGGCTCGGCCACGTAAAGGTATTGGTTCACTGTTTCTTTTTTTTTTTGGCAAGTGCTATTGCTTTTTTGGTTTGTTTTTTCTTTAGAGGTTGTATGTTGGGATTCTACTTTTCTGATAGGTTGTATCCTAGGTGTTCTTTCTTTTTGCTTTTCGTAATTAGTGTGCGCAATAATTTTTTTGATGTTAATAAAATGAGCTCCCTTTTTTATAAAAAAAAAGAGCATTATCACAATTTTTCTATATTATTTCTCATAAATTCATAATTTTAATCCAAGAAAAATAATTAACACAGTTTTGTTTTGATTAAATGCAAGGCATTTTAATCTAATTTTTTTATTTCTATACACAATTATTATATTTAATTGATTTTTTAAACCATCTCATATGATTATTTTTCTTTATATATAAAAATGGAAGGGGCAGTATCTAAATTTTAAATATGCATTTCAGATGATATAATTCATTCTCTATTTTTTTAAAAAATCTAATTGTCATGAATTCCATGTTTTAAAATACAACCTCTTAAATGATGTTAAGAATTTTTGGAGGATATTGCTAGTTATGAGGATATTTTGAGCAACAATACAAAAAATATAATTTTATTTTCCATATTTTCCAAAAAAAAATTAACACGTTGGAGTGAAGGGATTGACGTGTCACGAATGCAGACGATAAAAGGTCTAAGTTAGAATACAAGTAGTATTTGTACAAGTATCCGTGAAAAAAAAAATTATCTGCTAATAAAATATATCAAATAACTAATGTTATTCAAGAACTGCTTTCCTTTTTTTTTTGGTAGGAATTCGAAAAAAAAATAATAATTACGTTCATTAGTTACTTTAATCAAACTATGAAATATTAAATAGCCGTTTTCTTTTGGCAAAAAAAAAAAGCTCTTTTCTTAAAAAAATCACTTTTAATTACAATATAAAAGATAATTAATTGAATTCATGCTTTTGTTCTTTGGCCAATTAAATGCATGCATTTAAATAGTGATATTTTTTATTTTTATACCATTTTAATGACTTAAATACCTGTTCTTAATTTTAATACAATGGCTAGTTAATGGTTACGTCTAGGCGAGGGAGGGAGCAATTAGTAATGTCAATGAATACCAAATTATAACCAAATTTGAGCTGTATTTTTTTAATTCCATTTCCATCCTTTATAATAACCCTTTCCTTTTGCCATTAATGATCCGTAATATATATATCGTGCCGTGGGACTCCTCTGTTCTCCATTCAAATCTAAATTTGAAATCATTGTGCACAGGAAATCCATGGCAGAGACCCGAAGCCCAAGCTTTTTGGTTGGCGGCGGCGGCGCTGGGAGCAAGCGCGGCAGCGGCGTCATGGAGGACAGGGATGATCAACACGCGATCTTCCAAAAGAAATCCAACTTGGGAGCGCCGCCACCGTGGAATTGGGACCCTGCCGCCGCATTAGCAAGCGCTCGCCATGAGTTCGGAGAGCACGGCGGCGTGAACATGTCCATCGAGGCCTCCGCGACGTTCACCGTCATGGAGCCGGAGACCATGCGCCGCATGTTCGCCGGCGAGCTCGGTCCCGATCGTGACTTCTTCATCTACAGCCGTCACTTTAATCCCACCGTCCTGAACCTCGGCCGTCTGATGGCCGCCCTTGAAGGCACCGAAGCCGCCTACTGCACCGCCAGTGGCATGTCGGCCATCTCGTCGGTGCTGTTGCAGCTCTGCAGCAGCGGCGGAAACATAGTGGCGTCGAGGACCTTGTACGGCGGAACCCACGCCCTGTTGACCCACTTCCTCCCCAGGGCCTGCAACATCACCACCACGTTTGTCGACATCGGTGACCTTTCCGCGGTGGAGAATGCCATCGTGGAGGGCAAGACCAAGGTGTTGTACTGCGAGGCCATATCGAATCCCACTCTGACGGTGGCCAACATACCTGAGCTCAGCCGGTTTGCTCATGACAAGGGAGTGAAAGTGGTGGTGGACAACACATTTGCCCCCGTGGTGCTTTCACCGGCTCGTCTCGGTGCTGACGTGGTGGTTCATAGTATCACCAAGTTCATCAGTGGTGGGGCCGACATCATCGCAGGTATATCCAATGTCCAATCTCCTTCATCCTTATCTCTCTCTCTTCCAATTACCATTTACCACACCTTCCATTTTCACTTTCAGATTTGCAGCCTTTGTTTTTGTGGGTCAACAATGCCCCTCCGTAGTTTATTCCGATAGTTCAGTGCTTGTCAATACAATAATTATTATCCTTTTCACCTATGAGTTGTGAAGCCGCTTCTTTTTCTCCTTTCTATGCTGCAATTCTATTTATACACATTATCTAGCAAAGCATATATACGAAAATTAGGAAGTAACACAACGTAGATCTTCCTGGAAGACTAGAGAGTTAATCTGTTCCTTTTTTTGGGTTGACTTATTTTTTTAAAATAAACGAGGAATGAATGAATGGTAATAATTACTAATAAAGTAATAATTATGAGAAACAAATATACTAATAATAAAGAAATGTGTAGCGAAAGGCTGTTCCTAACAATGTTTTGAATTCGAATTCATGGGAAGAGGTAGTGCCACCGTGCGAACAGGATTGCTTACATTAAGTGATAGTAATCATAACGTCTGGAATTGGCGCAGGAGCTGTATGTGGACCGGCATGGCTGGTGAATTCGATGATGGACGTTCACCAAGGGGCTCTGATGCTTCTGGGACCAACCATGAATCCCAAGGTGGCTTTTGAGCTCTCTGAAAGAATTCCACATCTTGGCCTGAGGATGAAGGAGCACTGCGCCAGAGCACTCGTCTTCGCCACCAGACTCAAGAAGCTCGGCTTGAGGGTCATCTACCCAGGCCTCGAAGATCATCCGCAGCATCATCTTCTCAAGTCCATGGCCAACAAGGATTATGGCTATGGCGGCCTGCTCTGCGTCGACATGGAAACAGAGGAGAGGGCCAACCGCTTCATGAACATCCTCCAGAACCACGCGCAGTTCGGCTTCATGGCCGTTAGCTTGGGCTACTACGAGACACTCATGTCGTGCTCTGGAAGCAGCACCAGCAGTGAGCTGAGCCCGGAGGAACAGAAACTCGCCGGAATCTCGCCGGGTCTGGTGAGGATGTCCGTCGGATATGTTGGGACATTGGAGCAGAGATGGTCTCAGCTTGAAAAGGCTCTCTCTCTTCTTCATGAATATGGCCTCCCCATCAAGAATTAAACCCTCTGCTTCATTTTCTTCATCAGTATCCTCTGTACGTAGAAATATAGTTCTCTTGTTCCTCAATTACTGTGGTTGTGCTCTGCTTCTGGAGTTTGGCTATGAACTTACCGAGTTTATCTAATGTCTCTAAACTTGTCTAGTTTTCCATTTGCATATTGTGATGGGGGCTGGGGCGTTATTTTGTCCACTGAATTGAATTTGTCTCTGTTCTGTTTTTCGGGAAAAAACAGAGCACAAATTTTAAAACGGATACTTTTTAAAAAACAAAAATGCAAAAACCAATCACAGGGGAAAAAACTTGCTATATGATTGAAAAAAACGTATTGGGAAGCTTTGTTGTTCTGATTCTGTGGGCATCTCAGAGATATCCTTTATTGAGACGCTATATTCATTTAGAGAGACGGCTTTTCAAGTGCGTCTGGTGGCCTCAAGATACTACACCCTCCGTTCTATATATATAAGGAAAAGAAAAATGTACGTCACAATTTAAGAAGTTGATTAATTATAATAATTATATTTAAAGATAAAAAAACTAGACTAAAATGTTTTATATTAATTAATATAAGTATGTATTAATTATTTTTTATTAATGTAAATTATAAAAAATGATTTAAAAAATATGTAATAAATATTTATTTTATTTATATAAAAAATAAGTAAAAAGTGATAGTTTTTTTTATAAATAAAAATAAAAGAAGTATGTTACAAGATGAACATGACATGTGAAGGTTCTTATTGAACTAATTAAAGTGGCAAGCTAAGAATTTGCAAAAGGAGTGACTTGATGGCTCTTCCAACTAAAATCTACTTAGAATCCTCTGGGTTATTTTCATTCTTTTCCATTATGAAATGGGCCAAACTTTTAATTAGTGAGAGGGAAGCCTAGTTTATCTATTTACTTTGAATTTTGTTGCAAATAAGGCTATGGGCGAAAATTCCCTAAGATGTCTTATTTGAATCATTTAGTTTTAGGTGTCCGATAACGGGTCTACATGTTTAAGTATGTCATTTAGTGTTTTTTTTTTTTTTTAAAGCTGGATGGGTTTTAAATTTAAATTTTACAGAAAAAAAAATTTAAAAGATGAGATTCCTTGTGGCCCCTCTAAAGCTCTGTATTCTTTATATACTTTTTAATTATGTCACTTGTTTTTCATTTTAACGTCAGCACTAAATTTTTAAATTTAATTAACTGAAGAATTTATTTTAATATTATTATCCGTATATTTTTATTTTCAAAGATTAAGCAGAGAATCCATCAGACATCTCGCCCTAATCAAATAGAGACTTTATTAATTAATTTATAGAATGGAAAATTGTTTAGAAGGACTAAAGGAGAAACAAATTTGTTAAAAGGGACCACCAACTTGGATAATCCTTCATCAAAACTAGAATCTTTCAAGCGAATTAAGTTAGAATTTGAATTTACCAAACTATCTCAAAAAAAAAAAAAATATACACATACATACATATAAGATATAGCAAATTCTTTTCTCATTTGATTATATTTAACAATTTGTCTGCATAGAAAAGAAAAAAGAAAGTTAGGTTCAAGAATATCAATTTAATTTTTCTATTAAAAAAAGTTAGGTGAATTAAGTTTTGGACACTTATTAAATCCATGACATACATTTAAGTTCAAAGAACATTTAAAGAGATAGTCACAAACACCACCACCAATAAAGTCTTCATATCAATGGCTGTATTTGATTCCATAATCTTATAAATTATGAGCTAAATCTTTACAAATTAAAGTAATTTTTACCTGTGATATCAATTTAATTTTAGTTAGGTTCCTTAAAAAATGAAAATAAATATTTAAATCATTAAAAATTCAAGAATTACAATTATAAAACATACATTTACGTATGCAATTATTTAAATGAATATTTATAAATCATTTTTTAAAAGATTTAGTCAAGAACTTAATTATTACTAAATTTATTATTTTAAAACTTAATTGTTATTCTCCAGATATGTAAGCTGGACGTTGCCACGTCCCATCAAAAACCAAATCGCATCTAATTAATATAGCATTATCTGATAATTAAGCACGTTAGTTCTTCGTAAGTTATTGGTTTGTTTTCTACTTTGGTTGTGCTTGTCCCTTTTGGAATACGACAATAAACGGCATAACTCGGTAGAAGTCGTTTTCCAGAATAGGACCCGTGGGAATCATAACTTATTCTGATTTAAATATTTTATTCCATCGATAAGGCGCGCCGAATTCGAATACAAGAAAGGATTAAGACTTCAGAATTTTTATTCTATAATAAATTACTCATATAATTACATAATTAAAATATTTTATGCAATCTTTTAAATAAAATAAAACAATCATCAATATGTATATATGTACATTATTAAAGCAGCTGCTTATTTTGGAATTCAAACTTAAAATCACAAGAATGTTGGAATATTATTTATGAATTAGCATTAATTAATAAGCCCAATAAATTGGTCCTTATGATCTTGTGTGGACCGTAATAGGTGGACCACACAAGTGAGCCTAATAGGCAGAGGCCCAACCCACAACCCAATAGCCGTCAGTTATTTCCTATCTCTTAACTGACTGAGTCAGAGATAATAAATAATATAATTATTTAATTATATTAATAAGGCAGTTACCGATCTGATCTATATAAGACGATTAGTCGGTAACCACAAACACACGACTCATTTTTGATAAGATTCCAGATAATATTTCCATGAAGACTTATCCAAGAAGAAAACATCAAAAGATAAATTCAGATTGATTTCATTGTTTATTTTGCTCAATATTTGATATTTCTTTAGATTTAGTATTTTATTTAGTCAGATTTTATTCTTTAGATTTTATTTAGATCTAGTAGTTTATCTATTTAGATTTTATTCAGTATTTTAGATTATAGGAGATATTATTTAGTTATTTAGTTATTTTAGATTATAGGAGATATTATTTAGTTATCTAGTTATCTAGATTTTATCCATTATTTTAGATTGTATTTAGCATTATAAATATGACTAGCAACTTAGAAGCTATGATATCAGTTTATCAATAAAATAGTCTTTTAAACCCTTTGGAGATTCTCCTGAGCGTGGCTATTAAGAGAAATATAGAACGAGATTCTTGTTCTATATCATCCTAATAGAGTTATTCTTATTTTAGTTATTCTGAGCACCTATCAATTTGGCATCAGAGCCATAGTTACCACACGTACTGGCCAAGAAACCAACCCTTCTAACAATTCGTCCAACAATGACCCAGAAAATTCAAATTCACTTATGTCAGATCATTTGGCCAAAATCGCGCAGCAACTCGAAACTCTTGATTTATTAAAAGAGAAGGTAGAAGCACTCGAAGCCTCAGCAATCAATAAAAACAAGAAACCTGGAGAAGCACGCCGCAGGCACTATTATGAAGATGAAGAGAGCGAAGACGAGCAAGAAAATCGCAGGCGCACCAGATTTCATCGCACCAAAATTGAATTCCCAAAGTTTAGTGGAGGTGATCCACGGGGATGGATCTTAAAGGCTGAGAAGTACTTTAAGTATTACAACACACCTGAAGAAGAGAAGGTGGACGTAGCCTCACTGGCACTGGAGGGTGACGCACTAGAATTGTTCGCATGGATCAGTCATGAACGAACACTCAACTACTGGGACGAGCTCGTGACAGCATTCCAAGAGAATTTGGGACCACTTGAATACCAAAATCCGGATGAATTTCTTTGCAGCATTAGGCAAGAAGGTTCAGTTCAGGAATATCGCACAGAGTTCGCCAAACGATCGTCGAGAGTCAAGAATTGGCCGGAGCACTGCTTGCTCGGCGTTTTTCTGAATGGGTTAAAAGAAGAATTACGATCAGATGTCAGAATCCATAAACCACGATCAGTTTACAGAGCAGTAAGTCTGGCTTTGGAGATCGAAAGCAAAACGCAGCTTACCAAGACAAGACCCAGCTTGATCCAGACCCAAACCCGCTATCCTAACCCGAGCACACCTGGGGCACGTGACCCGAAATACACTGAAGTTACCTTCTCGACGTCTTCGCAGAGGGCATCAACGCCATCGGGACCCAAATCAGCCAGCGTAGTGTCGACCAAAAACTCCTCCATGGATTTCGAACACCAACGCAGGAGAGACAAGGGGCTGTGCTTCCGATGTGGTGACCTCTTTCGGCCTGGGCACCGCTGCCGGGGATCCTTCTCCCTCATGGAGATTACAGAGGAAGGCGATGAGGTTGCCCTTCCTCTTGAAGATGGTGAACCCGAGGAAATAAGGACAGAAGGGGCAGAAATTTCATTAAATGCTATACTGGGTAGCAACACAGGGTCAGCTATGAAACTTAAAGGCACGTTGCTTACAAGAGAAGTGCTATTATTAGTAGACAGTGGGTCTACTCATAATTTTATATCAGACTCATTGGTATAAGAACTGCGTCTTCCTACTCATTATATTTCTGCATTTGGAGTCCAAATTGGGGATAGCAGTATTGTACGGTGCAATCGAGTATGCAAAGATGTGAGAGTTAAGCTCACAGAACTGACTATTAAGGAAGATTTTTTCCCTTTTTCCTTGGGAGGAGCTGATCTGGTGCTGGGCATTAAGTGGCTAGCATCTCTGAATACGGTGCAAGCCAACTGGAATGAACTTTTTATGATTTTTTGGTTGAATGGCAAGCGGTATAAATTACAGGGAGTCCCTAATGCTACTAGTGGTGCTCAATTTAATTCAATGCAACAAATAGAAGCTTCCGCTAACTCTACACCTCTTCAATGTTTCAATCCAGAATCTTTATTTGCAGAATTTCCATCTGTATTTGAAGGACCTTCAAACTTACCACCCTTTAGAAATCACTCACATGCCATTCCCCTACTGCCAGGGGCCAACCCTCCCAATTTACGACCCTACAGGTATCCATATTATCAAAAGGCCGAGATTGAAAAGCAAGTTGAAGAGTTACTTAAAAAGGGGTTTATTCAGCCTAGCTCAAGTCCATTTGCCAGTCCAGTTTTATTGGTCGCAAAGAAAGATGGTTCGTGGCGATTCTGTGTTGACTATCGGAAATTAAATGCCATTACAATCCCAGACAAGTATCCAATTCCCAACATTGATGAGTTACTAGATGAATTACACGGGGTAATCTATTTTTCCAAATTGGATTTACGTTCTGGATACCACCAAATCAGGATGCTACCCGAAGATATTTACAAAACAGCATTTCGTACTCATTCAGGGCATTATGAATTCATAGTTATGCCTTTCAGCTTAACCAATGCCCCAGCAACTTTTCAAGCAGCTATGAACGACTTATTTCATCCTTATTTGAGAAAATTTATGCTGGTCTTCTTTGATGATATTTTAATATATAGTCCCTCTTTTCAACAGTACCGAGCTCACTTGCGTATCATCTTGCAAACCCTACAGGAAAATGCATTTTGTGTCAATTTGAAAAAATGCTTTATGGGGAAATCAAAAGTTTCCTTTTTAGGGCACCAAATTTCTGCCCAGGGAGTTGAAGTTGAGACTGAAAAGGTGGAGGCGGTACGAGAATGGCCTATTCCTAACAATGTAAAGGAGTTACGTGGGTTTTTAGGCCTTGCAGGATATTACCGGCTTTTTGTGAGGGATTTTGGGATTATTGCGCGACCCCTTACTGAATTGACTAAGAAGGATGCCTTCTTATGGTCTGAACTAACTCAAAAGGCATTTGACAACCTTAAACGTGCACTGGTGAGGGCACCCGTCTTACAGTTGCCCAATTTTGGGAGGACTACGATCTCTTGCACACTCAATTTCCCTCCTTTCAACTTGAGGACAAGTTAAGTTTTCAAGGGGAGGGTAATGATAAGATTCCAGATAATATTTCCATGAAGACTTATCCAAGAAGAAAGCATCAAAAGATAAATTCAGATTGATTTCATTGTTTATTTTGCTCAATATTTGATATTTCTTTAGATTTAGTATTTTATTTAGTCAGATTTTATTCTTTAGATTTTATTTAGATCTAGTAGTTTATCTATTTAGATTTTATTCAGTATTTTAGATTATAGGAGATATTATTTAGTTATTTAGTTATTTTAGATTATAGGAGATATTATTTAGTTATCTAGTTATCTAGATTTTATCCATTATTTTAGATTGTATTTAGCATTATAAATATGACTAGCAACTTAGAAGCTATGATATCAGTTTATCAATAAAATAGTCTTTTAAACCCTTTGGAGATTCTCCTGAGCGTGGCTATTAAGAGAAATATAGAACGAGATTCTTGTTCTATATCATCCTAATAGAGTTATTCTTATTTTAGTTATTCTGAGCACCTATCAATTTTCTTCTACTTTCATTATCTCTGAACTCTCTGAAGGCTCTGGGGACTTGAGGGTTGTGTACCTGCCTGCACTCGAGGTAATCGAGATTTTTCTAACACTCATGAATTCTTCAGGTACGCATGAATTATTTTATTCTATCATATTATTATTATATATATGTGAATTGAGATATACAGAACTACAAAGAAAAGCTAGTTCATTCATTCGATTTGTTGAACCAAGCATCCTCAATTTGATAATAGTTTTTCTAAGATGTGAGGGAAAGAAATATAATTAGAAATGGATTAGGAAATAAGAATTGAAAAATGAATTTTAATAAAATGATGGTCATGGCACACCATGAAAAGGGGATTGAAGTGCGTGCTGGCCATAGTCTTAGTCTTAGTGAAACGCGAAATATGCTAAACAACTAAATATAATTGTAGAAAATATAAGAAAAAACTCAAAAGGATTAAAATTAAATGTAAACTAAAGCTATGGGAAACCTAAAACAGTAGAATTGAAATACTAGATGACCTGTTAGGTTTTGTTCTCACTTTTTGTTTGAAAAAATTATTTTGTAAACTAATTTTAAAATTTTTTTATCAAACCAAAACAAAATGACTATCTAACTATTTGATTATGTTGATTTAAGAACAGGTTTAGCATTACAAAAATCAGCTAATAATGACAGTTGTTGGTGGCTAATGATGGAGATTTGTGATAATAATCGGTTAAGCTAAATGTGATTTCTAATAATCAAATGTAATGTATTTTGAAAATAAAAAAAAATAAAGTGAAAACAGTCTTAAGATGTTTTTATTTTTTGTCTTTAAAAACAAAAAATAAGAATAGTTTTGGAAATAATTAAATTCAAAATATTTATCCAAATAATTTTTTAAAATTAATATTTTGGCTGATCGTTTAAAATATCTTACATTGTTCGTTCAAAACTTAAGTTACTCGTTTATATCTCTTAAATATTTAAATATAAAGCGCGCGCGCACATTATTGTAGACTTGAAGTCATATTCCATAATTTTAAAAATTTCTGTATGTGATGTATCATGTTGTATCACATTTTATACATGTACTCGCATGATGCTTCTTAGGACTTAATTACCTTGACTTGGTCCTTTTTAAGAAAATCATAATGATTATGAACAGGGTTCTAGGACTAAAAAATTATATCCTTTTCGATACATATATATAAATGAATTTTTTGACTTTAACTTAACATTCACGCCCTTTTAATAAAACGATTTTATTGAGAAATACAAGTTAAAATATTTAAGTAAAATATTATGAAATTAAAGCTTTTACTGATTTTTAGTGTAATAAATAATATAGTAATTACATATTGAATGTTAACTTAAAAAAATTTAACGATAAAATTATAAAAATGTTATAATTAAGCTAGACAGAAAGAAAGCTGGCAAGAGAATTTGTGAATGACTGACGCTGCTTGGATAGAAATCAGGGTTGGGAATAATCAATTTTGTAAGCCCAAAAGGTTTTTTTTTTTACGAAAAAAATTTTTCCAAACACCTTATTATTTTTTAATAAACAATGTTAAAGAATCTAAACGTGATTTTCAGAAAAGTCACTCAAAAACTCTCTTTCATGAAAATCATGTCCCCTAAACTATGTTATACAAGAAAGCAACTCTGACTTGCACCTGCAGTCTAATTAAATCAATACTTTCAAATTTGTATTTATAAATCAACTTTAACTGGCTAGCATGAAATGCTAGCTATCATGGACTATGACCTTGGGCACAATGGGTTAATTCCTTCTTCCTTTTCTACTCAGTCTGTGGCCCTTTTTCTCCATTGGTAATAAAAGAAGAAAAAAAGTACATTTAGATCTCACATAAAAAAATTTATTATTAAAAGATCTCATAAAATTTATAAAATACTCTCAAATATCAAATTATACACATTTATAACTTGACTAAATGCATTTATAATTGAACAATAGCCATTTACAACTTGTAATAACAAGTTATAAATAATTATTGTCCATTTATAAATGCCTTAGTTAAGTTATAAATACGCATGATTTGAGATTTGAGAATATTTTATGAATCTTATAAGATTTTTTAATAATAAGTTTCCCTACGTAGAACCTATATGTAATTTTTTCTTTAAAAAATTAACTTGCCCAGCCCAATTCCTTTTTTTTTTTGGTACATAAGAGGGCAGAGCCCAACAGAAAACTAAATTAATGAGGAGGGGGGATTGAGATCCCAAACACTCTGAATCTACAAAGCTACTAAGATGATTAGGAACCATATCAAGAAAGGAAGTATTTTACAGCCCATCTTTAGCTAATCTATCAGCTACTTCATTTCATTCCCTGTAGATAAAATCCATAGAGACTTCCCATTCCTTTTGAAGCATCAAGCATATCTGAAGTAGTAATAAGCTGTTCACTCTTAGTTTTCCAGCCTTCAATTCATCAACAACAGTCTCAACATCAAATTTTAAGATGACTTTCTTAAATCCCATGGCCCAAGCCAATTGTAAACCTTTAAAAATTTCCCAGGTTTCAACATCTAAAGCACTACATATTCCGAGTGTATATGTAAATCCTGCAATCCAAATACCATAAGCATCCCTTAAACATCCACCACATCTAGCTCTATTGTCTAATGATGACCTGGCACCATCAACATTTAATTTCACCTACTCATATAGGGGCTTAACCCATTTTATAGGCACACAGGGGCTTAGATCATTCCCCACTTCAATCGAGTAGTCAGTCTGTACAAAATTCTTCCATGAACATAGGATAGCTAATCCAGGACCACATGGTTTATAGAAATTAGGATTAAAAAGAATTATTCCTCTAAATCCATAATTTCCATATAGCAACACCCCGCAACAGATTTCAATTTGGGTTTAAAGGGTTTCCTAACTTTCTATTCAAGTTAATAGAAAACCACTCTGGTACGGAAGCAGAGAAGAAATTTGAATTATACCTTTGGTCTAATAGTAGGGTCCACATTCGTTGAGCATAAGGGCAATCTTTAAGAATATGTAGGACATTTTTAAACTAAGAATTGCACCAGGGACACAAAGAGGAGCTTTGAGACCACTTACTTCTCTATTCATTGGTTGATAATCTATTTTGAAAGGCCAACCACATGAAGACACAAATTCGTTCAACACCTTTCTAATTCCAAATAGCTTTAAAGGTAGAGCTGTGAATATGTGAAGGGTTATTCTCAATCAAGAAATAAGCACTCTTAATTGTGAAACACCTGTTGGAAGTAGCATTTTAAATCATAACATCATGTCCTGCACTGGTCAGAGGTGGTAGCACTGTAATAAGGCGTTAAATCACCTCTGAAGGTAGTACTTGTGTTAACCGTGTCAAATCCTAAGAACTACTAGAAGCCCACTCAGCCACAGTACTCTTCATCTCATCTTCAGTCAATGTTCTTGTGCATAGCTCCTTTGGCTTTTTTATCTTGTAATAGCCAAACATCATTAAAGAAGCTCACATTTAGACCATTTCGAATCATCCACCTGGTTCCTTGCTCAACAATATCCGCTTGATTACAAATAAATTTCCAGAGAGCTGAATCACTTGGTTTAGTAGCTAACAAAGAATCTTCATCTCTCAACATATACTTCTTAGAAAGTAATTCAGCCCAAAGCCTTGTTGCTCCGTTAATGAGGTTCCAAGCTAACTTGGCACCGCATGCACGATTTTTCAAGGCTAATTTCTTAAATCCCAATCCACCAAAGGCTTTAGGCAGGGTGATTCTTTTCCAATTAATAGGATAGTACCCATGATCACTGCTATTATTGCCCTAAAAACCTTAGCCACTTGCATAGGGTACAGAGGGATATAATGGCATGGGTTGCAAATGGGGGCTAGGGTTGAACCCGTGACTCCTTGCTTATAAGAGAGCTTATATATCACAAAGGTCGTGACTCATATTAGGCCAATTAGGCTGCCACTTTAGGCCTAAAAGAAAAATCTACTCATACCTCATATAATTAGTTATTATTTTTCTCGTTAAGCATTAATGTTAATTATATATCTTATATAATTAGTCATTTTTTTTATTTTCTATAAAATATTGTTGACAATACCAGTAACAATTACTACTGTTGAAAGAAGTTTTTTCAAATTAAATGTACTTAAATTTTATTTAAAATTAACCATGTTACAAAATAGATTAAGTGGATTGGTTATATTATTTATTGGAAGTGAAACGTTATAATTACTTGATTATAAAAATTTAATATTTAATTTTGCAGTTCAAAAAGCTAGAAAAGTAATATGAAGATATATATATATATATATAATACTCCTTCTGTCCTAAATTATAAGACACATTTAGACAAAATCTCACATATTAATAGACCTTATTAAATACAATTAACAATCTTATTTTTTAAAAATAAAAATATAAACTTTTAAAAATATTCTTCATTTAATAACATTAAATCTACACTTTAGTATTAAATAGAGAGAGGGGTAAAATTAAAATAAGTTTATTTAACAAAACCTTAATCTTTTTAAAATATCTTATATTTTAAGACAATAAATTTTTTCTAAAAATGTCTCATAAATTAGGATTGAGGGAGTAATACATTAGGCCTCTCAGATAATCTTGCCTTAAATCCCAAAATCCCTTCACACAGCCATGCATATCACTAGACAGTCCATTTCTATTTTACCTAACACAAATTCAAACTCACTCAATGTTACTACCAGCGTGCCGTGATGGATTGGAGAGCATTATGTTGATGGAAAAATACTAGACGACGATACATAATTTGACTGCGGTGAAATTGGGAAGGGATAAGACGAAGCAAACGTCTTATCCTAATACTAGATTATAAGACTATTGGCAGCCCATTTCTATTTTACCTCACACAAATTCAAACTCACTCAATGTTACTACCAACGTGCCGTGATGAATTGGAGAGCATTATGTTGATGGAAAAATACAAGATGACGATACATAATTCGACTGTGGTGAAAAGGGGAAAGGATAAGACGAAGCAAACGACTGCCAAGTTTTCCATCGGCTACAGTGCTACATGACCATTATCAAGCAATAAAATATAAGAACCCGTCAATCCCTCAAGAAACTCTCGTCATTATCCCACAAACTAAAACATATCACGATCCAAGTCTAAGTTCAATACCTGTCCAATACATTTTCATTTTTTAATGCCTGACTTGAAACCAACACATCCAAGACAAGAAAAAAGCGTCCCCCGAGCAGAATCGTGATTTACGATTGTGATCTGCTCGAGAACAATGCGTCGACAAAAGCAAGACTTTAATGGCCACTAATAAAGTGGCAAATGTCCATATTATACAAGTAATTGGTATTATAATATACACAAACCAAAGAATACCGTTCGATAATAATGTTGGGGCTTTATTTATTTTTTTAATTTCTTTTTCTCAACTCTTAGAGAATCTATTTCCTATGATAATAACCCTGATAAATCTCATGGCACAAACGACATGATATTAATGGCAATGAAACTTGAGAATAATAATCATGAGCATGATGGTATGAAAAGAGCCCAAAGTAAGGAGCAAGGAGTTTAATACTTTTAATCCAACGTGTCTAAAGACCCTTTACAATATATTGAAGATTCAATGATAAGTGCTCAAATTAAAGCTATGAAACAAGCCTTGTTTAGTCTTGTATAAGAAGTCCAAAAGTTTGGAGAACATTGGGGCACTCCTCTCCAATCCAAAGGAAAGCATCTTGGAGTGTATAATGTGTTTAAGATTCAAATCCATGAAGAGTCAAGCCCAAGAGGTGCAAACCATGGCCTAGTGTAAGAAAAATTACAAGTGGAGCCTTTTGCAAGTAATAAGGCATGAAATCCTAATGAAGAAGTCAAGGGTTGCATGATTTTGAGTCCTTTCTAATTCCCTAATTGTTTCCTTAATTGTTTCTTATTTTAATAGTCCTTTGACTTGACTCCCTTTCTTAAGGAGCAAGACTAGTCATAATTTTTTATTTTGCGTCTAGTCAAATATTAAGATTAATTATATTATTTTTAATTTCATAATTTTAGGATTACATCTCCTACATGTAGCTGAATGTTTTCTCCTTTATTTTATATTATTTCTTTCTCCTTTTAGTATTAAAAAATTAGGGCTTTAATTTTAGAAAATAGTCTTTCCTATAAGTCTATATATATTAGGCATGCTTCCTCTTGTAAACAAAAGAGAAGTTGAATGAAATTATTCATCTTAGAGATCATAACTCTTATGAGGCTTAGTATTTTGTGGTGGCATCCCATGTGAAAAATAGATGTGATCAAGAGTATGATCAACTCTTGTGCTGTTTTCGAAGGTTAAGATCTTATAGGTAGGCGTTTTAAAAGATCTTATCATTGATCATTATCCCGTTGTTTATTTCATTTCTTTCTTTATTTTTGTCATAAATTTTGTCCCTTTCTTTATGTTCTTGTGTTTTTATTGTTTCAAAGTTCTATCCTTAAACTAGCACTATTCTGCTTTTGCTTCCTCTTTCAAATTAGCATCAAAGTTTTTATTGCTAGTTTGCTAGTTGTGGTTCGAATTTTTATCCTTTCTTCTTTTTCTTCATCTTGAGTTATTTCTATTTGTGATCATTTCTTATTTACCCTATTTACTTCTATCTTTTGGTTTTTTTCTTCTTCATCTTTGTGACTTTTTCATCTTATGTGAGTTTTTATTTTATTAGCTTAGTAAAAAAAACATAAAAATTTGTGCAAAAAAAGGCAAAAAAAGTGTTAGTGTGTTAAAAAAAGGAAAAAATTTTGAAAATTAAAAAATACAATATATATATATATATTACTGTGAATTGTGACTGTAGAAAAATGCTATTTTTAAACTTCAAGTCTCTAAGAGATTGCTTAAAGAGAAAAGTCAACTCAGGGGGTGAGAAAGTCTTCTACTTTAGTCACTTTCTTATTTTTAATTTTTGATAATACTTTTCAAATTCTCTACTCTCTTATTCTATTTGGCTTCATTTTTTTTATCTTTGAGTATTTAACTTTTTGACTTTTATTTCTATTTTGTTTGTCACGTGTAGTTTTCTCTTTCGGCTTGATTTTATTTAAAAATTTTGATTTCTTATTTATTTTAAAATTTCAAAAATTTGCAAACAAATATCCTCTTTTCATCTTGTTCTTATTTTCTAATTTTCTTAATTTAGAAGTTGTTTGCTTAGTTGTTTTTTAGTTTCTTGATTTGTGTTTGGTTTCACTATTGGATTATATCAAAGAGTTTAGTAAGTGGTGAAAGGCAAGTGTATTTTTCATCATTGAAAAAGCCATTATTTTTTTAGTGAAACACGAGTGACTTTATTTTTCTTAAGAGTAAACACATGAGTTTGTGTGTGTGAGAATCCATTTTTATCTCATATGGTTTCTAGTGCTTCTGTGAACATGAATAATAAGAATGAATCCCTTAATATTGATATGAAATCTGTTTTAGAACTTATCAAAACACAATTGCATTGTTTCGCTTGGGACTTGATCATAAGTTTCATAAGGAAAGCCGAAGACTTTCTCTTCTAAAGGGAAAAAGCGTGAGACTCTCAATAATGATGAGGAGTATGAAGAGCCCCCTTTTCGTAAGGGAAAAAAAATCCTCAAAGCGTAGTATTGACTTACCAAACCAAAAAGTAAAATATCCTTCATTCAAGAGTAGCAACAATTTAAAAAAAAATACCTTGATTAGGAAATAAAGATGGACCAAATCTTTATAATTCTTGATTTGTTTGAGTCAAGGAAGGTAAAAATTGCTTCTTTAAATTTCACTAACCAAGCTGTTTATTGATGGCAAGATTTACAGTACAAAAAAAGCTAACTTGGAAAAAAGTCCATTAAAATGTGAGAGAAGTTTAAACGATACCTGAGAAAGGCTTATGTCCCTAACTACTATTACACAAAGCCGAATAGAAAATTGATAATGTTTTCTCAAGGATCTATGACTGTAGAGGAGTATATGCACGAGTTGAATATCTTGAAGTTTCATGCAAACATTTAAGGGAATGAATGTGAAGCAATGTCAAGAATTATGTATAATATTCATCTTAACATTATTAGGACAATATTTTTACACGTTATTATGATAACCAAGATTAGATAAAATTCTAAAAAAATTATCACAACCCAAGGGTTTAACAGATAATTAGTTTTAAATAATGGGATCCCAAGAAAATTCTTTTAAAAAATATTGTTTGAGCTCAAACTATAGTTTAAAATCAATCAAATATAATAATAGAAGTATGGAAACCATAAGCCTTTGAAAATAAGATAATAAAACTTGGAATTTTTCCAAAAGTTGGCCTGTCCGCAACGACACAGGCCTCACCCGTCGCGGTGGATGGCACAAAGGGACAAGTTTCTTAGTGAGCATTTACGTCATGGCGCAACTGTTATGTGCTGCAACGTGCACCTACTGTCATGACAGCAATCTAAATTTTTAGAGCACGTCATTTTGTCATCTGACGTCTGATTTAAGCGGTTTAAGTGTCTATATGAAGCTCTTCGAGCCATCTAGCTAATAGTACTAGTTTCACACTCAAATAATCATTTGTTAAAAATGTAGACACTTGAACTCAAAATGATTCATTTTCACCTCAAAATACTTATAAATGTGTCCAAAGCACACTACGAAATGCCATTTGACCATCTCAAATGGACCACACACAACATAACAAGCCAATTAGATCACACAAATAAGCATTCATACTTAAAATGACTACCAAACCCCCAATTCACAATAACAAAAAGGGATGGATAAAACTTAACACACACATCAATTTGGTCATTTAGACGCATAAATCATTTCAAATATATCACTTATAATTGCATCTGGGCCAAGCATACTTATTTAATCACAACCACATCAATTTTAGGCCAAGATGCACACACTTCACATATTCTTATACAAATGATAACAAAACAATGTCATGTTCCTAAGTTGGTATTATATTATAGCAATATTTATTACAACCCTAAAACAAGGAAAGGAAAGAGCTATACAATAATATTCTTCACTCTTCAGCCGTCCCTTCCTTTCCTTTGCCCCTGCCAAAGCCCTCACCTGTAAAATATAACAATGGCATGAGATAGACATCTCACTAACAGAATAATTCATTACTATTAATTAACATGCACAACCATAAAGGAGTAAAGCTATTAAGCACCAAAATATACTTTTCGTATATTAAAACATACTCTTTTCCATAAATACAAATCATTTATCACTAGCATGATCATTCTACCATCCAAGTCTCCATATTATCCTGACTAAAACCATAGGCTCTTGGACAAAGTGCACATTCACAATGGTCCAAGCTCACCTTTAGTGGTAGGATCACCCGGCTAAAGATGTCTTATCCTACTTTTGGATTATAGTCTTCTCCAATCGCACATAAATTGAGGTGTCATTACTTCAATACTCCATCACTGATGTTAAGGAGCATCACTCTCCAACATTGTATAGTTTGAGTGAATTTCAGCAAAAACTTTGGAATTATCATTTGTGAGCTTAAAAGCCTTGGTCAAATTCTTAGTGGTTTTGGGCACAACTAAAACTTCATTCACTTTCAAAGATCTAGTTAGGTCATCACAAGTTAGAATAGAATTTCCATAATTTATAACATCTAAAGGCCTACCATTACTAACAATAAGACTTGAAATACCTGGAGTGATGTTACTAGTGTCAATATTTTCTAGATCATCAGTCACATGGTGGGTTGCCCCACTATCAAGATACCATGTTGCGTCATTGACTGTTGTAAGAGTAGCAATATAAGCAAATATGATTTCATTTTTACCAAACAGAGGTCCCATGTAATTCTTGTTGTAGCATTTATAATAGTAAGCAAGAACATGTCCAAATTTGTGGCATAGTTGACAGGGTTCACCATTTAGGGTACTATTGGACTACCCTCCATAACTATGGCATCCTTTGCCTCTACATCTAAAACCATGACCTTGTCAACCGCGCCAGCTAGAATGTTTATCCTACACATTTTATCTCACAGAGAGATTAGCAAAAATAGATGGAATAGTTTGATGAGACATAGCATTGAGTTGCTCCACTTGAACCTAAAAGGTGATTATAAATCTACCCAAGACATATCTTCTTTTTCAAATAACTGAACCACTATGGGTGTATATTCAGAATCAAGATCAGATAAAATTTGAGTAATAAGATCACTAAGAGGAACAGGGGCACTAACAAGAGTGAGATTGTCTAAAATAGATTTCATCTTGTTTAAGTATTCTTCTATTTTGAGAGACCTTTCATGGGTCAACTACAATTTCCTTTTCAAAATAGTAACTCCAAATCGAGTAGTGACTTTGACTAAATATTTCACCTAGCCCCTTCCACAAAGCAGCTGTCAACCAATAATGGGTCATTTAGGAAGTAATGTCCACAATTAGCTTACTGAGGAGCCATCCCAAGAGGATCTAGTAAGTGGCATGCCATTTGTCAGAGGCTAGATTCGAAAGAACATTGCCTGCAATATCTAAGATATACTCTAAAAGGAGCACATTGGTACTAAGAAGATAACCTTCAAGGCGATGCCTACAAACAATAGGAAGAATCATTGATTGCTATATGAGATAGTTATTTCAATCCAACTTGACTGAGCTCACCTGATTTAAAGAATTGAGCAATGGGATTGGTTTAGCATCCACGAATAGTGTTGTGGTGAAAGAGCTACTAGATCCAAAGGAATTGAAGCGAGATCCGGTGAACTGTGGCTAGGATGAGATGATCAAAGGAGATAAGTGAGGAGGAGAAGAAGGAAAAATTGGGTTGCAGACGAGATGAAGAAGGTTGAGGTATGGGACATCATGACATGAGAAGAGGCGATCAAAAACAGAACGCAGGATGGGGAGGATAAAGGAGAAATAGGACTTAGGGGAGAGGAGCGAGGACGACATACCGTATGGAAAGAAAGACTTGGGGACAAAAGTAAAAGGGACATGTGAATCTACAATAGCAATCGAAGAAAGCGGAATTGAGACATTGGAGTTCGTGAAAAGCTTTGTAGGTGGGTTCAAAGTTTGAGATGTGAGTATGTGACATTAGAAGAGAGAGGGTTAGTGATAGATGTGATAGAGGGAATAGGGTTAGGGTTTAATAAGGTTTCACCAGTGGAGATGCCACAGGAGATGTTGTCATCTCTAACAAAATGACTCTGATGTCAAAACAGACTTAATAAAATATTGAAAGTGTGGCTCATTTGACAACATATCCAGAATACTGTCTATTAATATATATATATATATATATAGTCAAAAATAATAATTTACAGCTGTCGTATACAAAATATTCTATAATAAATATAGAAATATAATATTATATAAAAATGTACGGAGGATAATAAATAATTATCATTAACTATATATATTGTATCGCACCCTCCATTCCTCAGTTCTCAATCCAATCCAAATTTGAAAACATTGTCAGGAAAAGGACATCCATGGCAGACACACGAAGCCCGAGCTTCTTGGTTGCTGGTGGCGCCATAAGCAAGGGCAGCGGCGGGGCCGTGGAGGAGAGGGATGATCGGCATGCGATCTTCCAGAAGAAATCAGGCAAGGCGGCGGCTCCGTGGGATTGGGACCCGGCCGCCGCTTTAGCAAGCGCTCGCCATGAGTTCGGAGAGCACGGCGGGGTGAACATGTCCATCGAGGCCTCCGCGACGTTCACTGTCATGGAGCCCGAGACCATGCGCCGCATGTTCACCGGCGAGCTCGGTCCCGATCGTGACTTCTTCATCTACAGCCGCCACTTTAATCCTACCGTCTTGAAGCTGGGCCGACAGATGGCCGCCCTTGAGGGCACCGAGGCTGCCTATTGCACTGCCAGTGGTATGGCGGCGGTGTCGTCGGTGCTGTTGCAGCTTTGCGGCAGCGGCGGCCACATAGTGGCTTCCAACGTCTTGTACGGCGGAAGCCACGCCCTGTTGACCCACTTTCTTCCCAGGGCATGCAACATCACGACGACCATGGTGGACATCAGCGATCTATCGGCCGTGGAGAATGCCATGGTGGAGGGCAAGACCAAAGTGTTGTTCTTTGAGGCCATATCGAATCCGACGCTGACGGTGGCGAACATACCGGAGCTTAGCAGGAAGGCTCACGACAAGGGAGTGAGAGTGGTGGTGGACAACACATTCACTCCCATGGTGCTTTCACCAGCTCGCCTTGGAGCCGACGTGGTGATCCACAGTATCACCAAGTTCATCAGCGGTGGGGCCGACATAATCGCAGGCATGTCCTATATCCTTCTCTGTTTCTGCCACTTACCAAACTCTCCATTTTTCCTTTTTATTATTTTTGTTTTGTACTTTTTGTGCATAGTCTATTGGAAAAATTATGCGTAAGGATCAGTTTCCCAAATTAATTATGCAGGAGCACATAACATACAAGGATTATTAAAAAAAACTTATTTACAGATAAGAATTAATAACAAAATTTAAGGAAAAAGAAGTCCATATTTCCATCCATTCCATATTTGGAATAAATTTATTGAGTTATCTTTGGACTTGATTCTCCCTTATTTTTTTAAGTAAAAAATAAAAAATATTACGCAAAAAAAAAAAATCTGTTATTTTGGTGCTTAAGAGATTTGGACGATACAAATGATTCGAATTTAAAATCTTAAATCTATATAGTTTGTAGTTAATACTTTCATTTTTTTTTTAAAAAGTGTTAGTTGGATGATTGTTTTTATTTTAAATTTATATCAACTGAAATATTTTTTAAAAAACTACAAAAATAAAAAATTAAATAGAAACCATTCAAATTTAATATACACGGTCATATTTTTGGCTCTCATCACACATGAGCACTGAAACATTTCGCCCTTCTTGCATCTTCCTTGTTTCTGCCATAAAAAACATTACGAACACTAGAAGGAAGGGAAGGCAAAATTTTGTTTTTAAAATGACTGTAGCACTTTAGTGCAAATTATTTTCCTATTTTTTAAGCTGAGAAGTTGAAAGGTCTTTTAAAATAATTTCGGAAACTTAAGGTCCTTCTAAATAATTAATCTTTAAATCTGTCCTTTAGCATAATTTTCCCTAGTTTATTCCACTCACGTTGACATTGACTCTCCTTAATGAATAGACAATTTTGGTCTTTCCGGCATCATGTTACATTCACACTACAAATTTTAATTACTAACCTTTTTACCCATGAGTTGGGAGACCATTTCTTTTCTTATTTTAATTCAAAACGGTTATTTTTATAAAGGTGACGGATCATTTAAAGTTGAGACGTGAATTTCATGAAGCTTTCTTTTTCTAAAAAAAAGAGAGAAAATTCTATGTTCTATAAAAAAACAAAATGCAGAAAATATTTTAAAAATATTTTTTAAAAAATTATGTATGTCAACTTCAAAGAATTTCTTCCCTTTAATTTGTACAAGTAAAGTGCATGTATACGTACATGGAAAAAAGAAATATACCGGTCCATGTTGATCCCTATAAGACTAGAAACTGCTAGAAAGTTATATCAACGACAAGGTATCTTAATGACATTTACAACAACTTTCTTTAAAAAAAAAAAAAAAATCAAGGCTCGAACCACATATATGTTTGGAGGTGCATGTTTAGAGTTATGCCATGACGGCGTGGTATTGGTGCAGGAGCAGTGTGTGGACCGGCATGGCTGGTGAATTCGATGATGGATCTTCACCAAGGGGCTCTGATGCTGCTGGGTCCAACCATGAACGCCAAGGTGGCTTTCGAGCTGTCTGAGAGAATCCCACACCTTGGCCTCCGAATGAAGGAGCACTGCGCCCGAGCACTCGCTTTCGCTACCAGACTCAAGAAGCTCGGCTTGAGGGTCATCTACCCAGGCCTCCAAGATCATCCGCAGCATCATCTTCTCAAGTCCATGGCTAACACGGGCTATGGCTATGGCGGACTTCTCTGCGTCGACATGGAAACAGAGGAGAGGGCCAACCGCTTCATGAACATCCTCCAGAACCACGCGCAGTTCGGCTTCATGGCCGTTAGCTTGGGCTACTACGAGACCCTCATGTCCTGCTCTGGAAGCAGCACCAGCAGTGAGCTGAGTTCGGAGGAACAGTGCCTCGCCGGAATCTCGCCGGGTCTGGTGAGGTTGTCGGTCGGATACGTTGGGACGTTGGAGCAGCGATGGTCTCAGCTCGAGAAGGCTCTCTCTCTGCTTCACGAACGTGGCCTTCTGATCAAGAATTAAGCTTCCTGCTTCTTCTTCTTCCATATCGCTGTGGTGTATAAAATAAAGGGGTATGATGATAACACCTCATAGCATAAGGGCTCAGTATCGGTGCTTAGCGTCTGTTGAGCACCATACAACCCATCAATGGAACGCACCGTTTTGCTCTTCATTTCCCAGTTATACTATTTTTTTCCCTCTTTAAATTCATAGGGAAAAAAAACTTAATAACTTATTAAAAAAAAACTGTAACAAGGAATAGTGATGATTAGGTTGAGGAAAACACTGGACAAAGTGAAAACACAAAAAAAGAACAAACGACACGTAATATCCCGACCAGACAAAGACGACACAAATGTCTTGTTGAGGAAGGAGTGGTTGTACGTCTATTGCGTCTGTTGTGCATGCGATGCTGTGGCTGACAAATTTGGTGCTTTGTAAACGTTGCTGATTTAGAGGACTTGCTCATTAAACATTATCTTGGTTTCCTACTATGCACACCTTTGGGTATTTCACCCTCGTTTAAAAAAAAAAAAAAACCCCAGACAAACAAATCAACCATACGACAGTTACCCAGCAAAGTCTAGTGATTTATTAAAACCAAACCAGTCATTAAACATGTTAAGGCATTGATTCACAATTCAATAGTTAGGTTAGAGTTGAACTATGATTGAACCGATTATAATTAAATTAATATATTTTAATACCATAAAAAAATTTAAATTAATTTTCTTATATTTTTTTTGGAGTTTCAAAATCATTGTTGATTTTTTGAAGATGGTTATCACATTTTTTAAAAAAGGAAATAAGTACTAAATTTGTTTGAAAAGATATGTAAATAAGTATTTAAATAAATATAGACGAAAAAGATGTTTACATGTAAAGAAATAAGTTAAAAAATCAATTTAAAAAGAGATAAAAGGGGTGTATGCTTATTTTTAAAATTGGTCATTAAGAAATTTTTAAAAGCAAGTTATAGCTAAACTAAAATGATATCATATGAAAAAAAAATTATAGATAAATAGTTGGAATAATAAAGATACAAAAGATGTTTATACTTAAAAAGATAATTATGAGGAACTCACACGAAAAAGGAACAAAGATGAGGGGAAAATTTTTAAAAAGAAGAAATAGACAGGATGGGACTACATATGTTTTGGATGGAAATGCTTAGCCCCACATCGTCTAAGTGTTGCGGAGGGAGAGACGCTGATGTATATATAATTGAAAGGATGGGATACTCTAGTTCAGCAAGCTAGTTGGGTGACAGTTTATAAAAGCTGGCGACCCGTAGTTAACTGTTTTTAATATTTTTCTGAGTTTGTTGCTTAATTTTAATCACGTAAAGTTTATATTAATTTTTTTAATATTTTTTGGGTCAGTCTGGTTGAAATTACGGTCTGGTTCATTGGGTTTTGGCTGTTGATTGGTTTGTCACCAGTTCTTATTTAGTCTGGTTTTATGTGTGTTTCGGATTGGATTAGGCGTGGGTTCTCGGTTCTCAGTTAAATTGGTTTGACCAACCGATTCAGTTTGATTTTCATAATAGTCATAATAATCATCTTCAGCTCACACTCAAAGGCAAATTTTTTTGCAAGTGCTATTACTTTCCGGCAATCCTCATCCACCATTGATTTCATTTCACTCTCTCAGAAAATATAAATAGAGAAAATTAGATTAAAAAGACATTCTTCTTCTCTAATATAAAGTTTTTATTTAATTTTTTTTCTCCACTCTAGATTGAAATTAGGGGAAAAAACAAGGCTAATTTTTTTTTTTAAGGTTATAAAAGAGGACTTAATTACAGTAAAAGGTTAAACATATGGAAGGGATTGAAATCCCAAGCTTTCTCTTCAAAGCTAAATCCCTCAAGAATGGTTGAGTCGAACCAAAAAAGGATGATGTAGAGACCCTTTTTTTGCCAAAAAATCTGCCACCATATTTTGCTCTCTGGGAACAAAAGTCACTAGCACATCCCAGTTGTATTGAAGAAATTTCTGGGCTTCTAAGAAAACAAAACTTCCTTTGTATTGATTCCCGTGAGGACCGAGGACCATTCAGGAGATCCACCAAGTTCTTCAAATCAGATTCAATGATTACCTTTCTGAACCCCATATCCCATGCCGACTGAAACCTTCCAAACATTGCCCATTCCTCTGCTTCAAGAGGGATACAGTTGCCAATGGGATTGGAAAAGCCCACAATCCAATTTCCTTTGTCATCTCTTAGAACCTCTCCACAGCCAGCTTTGCTTGTATTCGTTTCAACAATGCCATTAGTATTAAATTTTACCCAGCCTTGCGAAGGAGGTTTCCAATTCAGGTATGTATCAGTAATATCATTCTCAGACAAAAAGACTTCCTTATGCATGACAAAGGATTTCCAAGTGTGGAGAATTACCATACATGGGTCATTCGGTTTTGTGGAAATCTAGTTGGAAAATAAAACAATTTCTCCACTTCCAAAGCTTCCATATTGTCACATCCCACCACATTAAGTTCCAATTAGGAGTTAGGCTTCAGATTTCGCGCCACCCAATCTTTTAATTCTTAAGAAAAGAAAGTCTGGTGGTGCCTTGGTGGCAGTAACCTATTCCAAATTTGTCGAGCATATACATAGTCTCTAATGATATGCAGCACGTCCTCCTTCTCTTCTTCACACCAAGAGCACAGAGCAGAGCAAGCAGCATAGGAACTTCTACAGCTGTTAGTAGGAAGCTTATTGTGATACTTAAACCAAATAAGGAAGTAAATGCGCTCTATTCCTTTCCATTTCCAGATTAGTTTAAATAAAGGATCAAACAAATCAACTGGTGGTTTTTCAGTAAGCACTCTTAACAGTAAAGGAGCCATTAGGTGTTCTTCCTTTCCATAACATAATATCACGACCTGATGATTGAGAAGGGGGCAACACGGAAATTAGTCTTAGATATTTGATACAATGAGAGACAGATTGACAAAGTCCCATGGGCTGAAGCGTGTCCAGTCAACAACTTTTGAATTCATTTCCTCCTCAGACAGGGGTCTCAGTGCCATATCTTTAATCTTCTTATCAAGGTACGGCCAAGAATCATCAAAGAAACAAATAGACTCACCATTTCTAAGCTGCCATCTAGTTCCTTCTTCTAGAAAATCTTTATGCTGGCAGATGAATTTCCGTAATTGTGAATCCCCTTTCTTGATATTCAACATATTTTCATTAGATCTATACATGTATTTTTTTAACAGATCAGCCCATAAACTGCTCGATCTAGAGATTAGGTTCCAAGCAAGTTTAGTGTCACAAGCTTTATTGACTGAAGTCGTTTAAAACCAAGCCCACCATAAATGTCCCCCCCCCCCCCCGGGCCCCTCCGAGCCCCCTCATTTCTATTTCCCCACTATTCTAAACACCCTAAGCCTCCTTCCCCCTGTGCGTAAAGGCTAGCATTGTTTCAAAACGACGGAAAACAGATATATACATTAGTTTTGATCTTAAAAATAAGGCTAAAATATATTTTAAATTCTTTAACTTTTTATAAAATTTCTATTTAATTCTTTAATTTTGTAAATTATTTTTTAGTCTTTTAATCCTAATATCTTTAGTTTCAAATAATTATTTGGTGCATCAATCATTATTATTTAAAAAAAAATAAACTTAATATGTCAACTTATGAAAATATTTTATCAATATCAAAAAGTTTTATGTAAAAATTTGTTAGGATGTACAGTGTTAGAATTAAAAGATTAAAAAGGCACTTTATAAAATTAAGGGACTAAAATAAAACTTTATGTAAAGTTAAAGAACTAAACATATACTTTAACCTAAAAATAATTAACTTGTTGGATTAGTCTTGGATGATAATTCTTCAAATTCTATATTGACTTATGTTCTTTTATTTTGACATTAATTTAAAAAAATGTTAGACAATTACTCCCCCTGTTTCTAAATATAAGAGAAAATAATCAACTCACACAGTTTAAGAAAATTAATCAAATATAATAATTATATCTAAAAATAAAAAAAATTAAACTACATTATTCATGCAATTAATGAAACAAATTTTCCTAGTAAAAATAAACATTGACTTTTTGAAAAATAACTTTAAAAAATATAATAGATGTTTATTGAAATTTATAATTTTAAAAATATGATAATTTTTGTAACACACCAAAAAAATTTTTTTTAAATAATTTAACTCAACCATAGTTGAGTTACAGCCACCCAACACATTTTTATATCAATAATTTTAATATAAAATATTTTATAATTGGCTTCAATTTACACACTATAACATTTCAAATAAATTTTTACCTCCCACATGCCATTAGGCTAAATCACATTTGTCCATCCTTATACTCCCAACAAGTAAACTAAATCACATTTGTCCATTCTTATACTCCCAACAAGTAAAATAAACAATTTAGTCAATTTTCAACACAAGCCAGTTATTTAGCCTTATAATCATGCCATTTTAACCAATTCAAAGTAAACCAAATATTAAAATTACAGCCATCCAAATTGTACCAAAAATAAAAATAGTTTGAAAGGCATGATTACATTTATATATTTATATAATTAACAATAAATAAAAAGCCCTAATATTGGCAATATAACACATTATAAATCATAAATTAAATACCCAAAAGAGACAGTGGATCTATACCACTAAGCCTCTGGGACTCCTCCACGTGTCACTCGTGGCTCTTCTCCTGAAAATTGTTAACCACATAATGAGACTCAAAAGTCCCAGTAACTAAAGCCAATTTATGATAGTGTATACAAACAGTTAAATGTGTGCTTACTAAGTGAGAATTAAAAATAATATAATTCCAACAAATGTATGAAATATTACAATACACACAAAATAACCATCCTTATATCCCTCCATTAACCTCGAGCCGTAGCCCTCACTCGATGCTAAATTACCCGGCCAAAGGTAGATTAGCTCGAGCCCTTACAAGCCACCTATTGAGCTCCAATAGGGGCGTACCACGTGGCACATAAATACAACAATAATAGCAAGTCTCCCAACACCTCCCACAATAATCAAACAAATTCATAATAATATTGCACAATTATACAATATTACAAAATTCATAATTTTCTCAATAATCACCCAATTAACATGAAGTAACACTAATCACAAATTAAAAGTATAGTTAACTTGTGGCTTTTTCAATAAATTATTCCTTAAAATTTCTCTCTCACCACAATCTTCACCAGTAATACAATCTACAAATAACATATTATTTATAAATATTAGTTTCAATTTTTGAAACTAATAAAATAATTCTAATAATAGAATTAAAAATATAACATAATTCCTAATCTCAATCTTAATACAAATCTATAGTTAATACTATTAAGTAAAATTTTTAACTCCTCTTTTAATTATCAATAAACATTAATAATCTAAAAATCAACTTCTAAACTAATTTCTATTATCAAATTTTTTTTTATTTCATAAATTCGTGCCTAAAATACCTAAAAATTAAAAATTGAGTCTCTAGCTTAGAATCATGATCCTATAACCATAATAATTCATTTCTCATCCCAAATAATCATCTAAACCTCAATAAATCAACATATATTTTCAGATCTAGTTTAGAATTTGATCCATAAGCCACAGATTCAAAGATCATCAATAAATTTATACTCTAGAACATTTATTATACTACTGACAACCTCAAAAATCATATTTATTCAACATAAATTCATCCCTCTTCCAGATCTTAAATTTTCTACCACTACAAACTCAGAAACCAAAGAAGAAGGATGACTAAGAAAAAATTTTAGAACACTTACTTAGTCTTGAAAAGATTAAAATCACACCCTAAATATCCTATTAAAAACTCTTACCTTAAAACCCAGCACTGGTGAACTTGGCTCACAGATGCTCTCTCTGCCTCAGCTCACGCACGAAAGAAGGAATGAAGAAATGAAGTAACAGGTGAGTTTTTATAAAAATTCAGTGGGTCTCACATCTTTTTTTTATTATTATTTCTTCTTTTCTCTCTCTCCTTTTTTTTATTATTTTATATTACTATTGATGCGGCGGCCGAAAGCGTTCACGTTTTCTTCCTTCTTTCCTTTCTCTTTCTCATACCTTTTCTCTTTCTTTCTTTTTATAATAATAATAATAATTTAATAATATTTTATTTTTTTTTATTTTTTTTAATTAATTAATTTTTTTAATTTTTTTTATTTTAATTTAGAATTATATCCTAAATTAGATTTAATAATTATTTTTTACTAATTTACTTACCTCTAAATATTTTTTTAAAATTTCTATTAACTTAAATTAATTATTAAAATTTAAATTAGGATGTTATAATTTTTTTTTTATTGAAGAGTAGCATTGGAGGTGGAGCTATAACCAAATTGACGTGTGGACTGTGGAATATTGAAATCTCTTCATGGGAAGTCACGTGTTGAACCACGAGAGAATGAGTGGCAATGTTTTGAAAGTAGGCAATAAACCAAAAAAGTCTGCCATCCTTAATTTTTATTATCCAACCGTTTACATCAGTGTTAGAGCAGTGTTAATAAAATGATATAATATAACTGTAAATTAATAATATTATAATATAAATTACACTCTCTTCATTGAAAAATTTAAAACATCTTTAATTAAATTTTATCTCTTAATAAAATAATTATTTATTTTCAAACTAATATCATCTTTTTATATTTACCTCTATTTTACAATAAGCTTCATTCTAAAATAAATAAAAAGTAATTTACTCATCAAGGTTACTTTTGAAAAAAGAAGCAATAATTACACCTTAAATATTAAAAATGTCTTACATTTTTTAACAAAAAGAAACTTTTTTAACATGTCAAATATAAGTAAATCTTGATCAAATTAAATATGAATAAATTTAAAAATATCTACATTTACTCTTATAACTGTTAACATCTTTATAAAAATAATAATCTCAAATCAATTTACACATATAAATTGTTTAAAAATAAAGTTAACTTTCAGTAAAATCTAATTTTCGAATTCTTCTATTTTTTTAAATTTTTAAACTTTTTTTAAACATTATGTTTAAAACTACTTCAGTTCTCAGTTCAACTTCAAGTTTTAATTTAATAGCAATTCAACTCGAATTCAATCCACCCCACTTATGAGAACAGTTTTTTGATTCAAATTGAGTCATTAACGGTTCACAATCCGGTTTTGAAATCCTTGATGAATGATGCATGTCTTCACTGTTATGTGACCCATGACCCAACCAATTATGTGCTTGTAATTTAGATATTCATGTTTTACAAAAGCAATCTTCAAATCGAAAAATTAGAGGTTTAAGCATTCATTAAAAAAAAAACAAAGGTTTGTAAAACTGGGTTTAGATCTCCAAACTAACATCTAAACACAAAATGGAAATTCTCCAGAGGATCTGACAAAGTTTGAACTTTGAACCATACGGCAACGCACCAACCCCAACGACAAGCATCAATGCAGCAGAACGCTAACGTGAATACAGAACTACAAACCCATAAAAATCATAAACTGGAAGTGATAAGAGAAAAGCAGCAACTCAAAGATATCAATATATTAAAAGAGCCACAATTAATGTGACACCTACTGTAAGAGTAATCTAAATAGTACAATCTGTAATCCGTGGATCAATCTGGCGTATGATTGTTGTCTAGACACTTGCCATATTTTACTCGTTAAAATGGGAGAAGAGAGAGCAGCATCACAAAGCAGATACGATGTAAGTTTAAGTTCAAGCAACGAAAAGTGGAAACCCCTTGGCATAAATAGGCAATAACAAGAACTCAAACTCAATCTGAATTCAAAGGAGAAGAGGCAGAATGGATAACAGACATGGAAGGTGCCTTTGTCACTTCATTTTTGCCTCTGTAAACAGAACGTGACGGTTAACCCTAGGGTCAAACTTTCGAAACTCGAGCTTCTCTGTAAAGGTCCTGGGTTTCCTCTTGACATAGAAGAATCCGGTCCCAGCAGCCGAAACAAGCCGAACAAACATCTGAGCCTTCTTCTTCTTGTCACCCATTCTTTATTGGCTTATTCTGTCCAAAAACAAAAACAAATTACCTCTCTTTACGATCATATAAGGTTTCTTTTTCTTTTCTTTTCTTTTTTTTTTGAGGGGGGGTGTTGTTTAAACTTTAAACTACTTCGTTAGTCCATTAAATTTCATCCAATTCTCCATGTGGTTCCTGTGCATTAGAAGTTAATAGATTGAGTTTTAATAGCTTTAAAAGATTTTAATTTAGTCTCTACCATTAAATCTTTGTTGGCGCGCCATTAAATTTTGAGAATGAACCAACCACGTGCCATTTTTTACAGTATTCAGAGAGTAATGCAAACTATGGCAGAATTGAGACATGTATTCTTTTCAACCATAGTTCAAGTACAACTGAGACTTGTATACTTCATATGATGGGGCAGACTATACTTAGAGCCTAACAATCTTGATTCTTCACACTTTGAATATGAACAATTCATTCCATCCAAAGGGATACCAGTAAATGCGCATAATCCACTAGTGCGTGCGAGCGTGTAAGCGAGAGACTTGGTATGAAATCATGCATATTTAGAATCTAAAGATAGTTCCACATAAAGTGGCTTGAATGGTAAGCAAGCACAGCGATGGAGAGGTCTTTGCAAGGATGGGAGTTAGATCCCAAAGAAAAAAAATTGCAGGGAGGGACACCCTTAATACCGTGCGTGAGATTAGTCTCACACCCGAAGGAAAACCAAAAGACAATGCCAAGGATCTAATTAGAATTAAAAGTTTCGAATTATAAGGACACAATAACAGACATTTACGATATAACTCTGGATACCAGGTTTAAAAATTGATTGAATTTTCTGAAACCAACACCAACAAAATCAAGGATTCGATTACAACACAACCATTGTGAGTAATAAAACCGCTTGCAACTAAATTTTGATCCAGGCAAATCAAAGCCATGCCACATAATCAGAATAATGCCTTCAAAGTGGAAAACGCAATTTCATACAAAGCCATTGAGCCAACATACACTATCAGATCCACAAGACATCAGGCAACAAATATGGTTATCTCTAAAAATCATGGCTTCATCTATGATAAAAAACAAAGACTCAAACTTTGAACACCATGGAGTACGACAGCTAAGACTTTAAGCATTTCCAAAGGGATCGAAGGTCTATATAATGAATTTTGGTGCACAATAAAAAACACGTACATTAAATAATCAATCTGTAAAAGCAACATGTGAGAAATTATATTAATTTGAATGACCGATCCATCATAAATATATTCACATTCAGAAAGTGTAATGCTTGAGTTTTGAGATAAATTTATTTGTTAAGGATAAACTAACCATAAAAACCTCGTACCCTGAATACTGAATACGAACAAAGTGCAAACGACTACAACATGTAATCCAAAAAATTTAAGGTTTTCCCCCTTTCACTGAAATTAACAGACCACAAAAAAAGAAAAGGCATTAAATGACAGATCAGATACAGCAAATTCTAAGGCAGCTGTTGGCCATGTATCAACAAGAAAAATGAGAAGCTACCGAAGAACAAAAGGGAACTGAAAAAGAAGTAAATCAATCAGTAATCTGAGAAGCAGGAGAAAAAAGAACCAAATCAGAACAACCAAGGCTTATAAGCTCATAGAGAACATCGCTTGCGATGAAGAGAACAGCAGTTACGACATACATAAGCTCATCGCTTTCGGATTCAAATCAGGACTAAAAACAAATGGGATTTTATTTTGAAGATATGTAATCAGAGACAGCAACAGAAACACAGCGGCGGAACAAAATCATGACAAAAAAGAAACGACGGCCAAACCTGAAGAGCCGGAGAAGACCGGTACGACGGCGAGTACTGATGGCGATGTCTGAGGTAGAGGTGGATGCCAATGAACCGAAGGACTGGAGGCTGCGCCGTAGCAGAGACTGGAAGCAAGTGGAATCCGAGAGTTCTGGGGCGAATGCGCGTAAACGCAACAAAACCCTGCGTTTTACCGAATTGCTCGTCCACGATTGCATAATACTTCTTCTTCATAAATTATAAAATATTTTTAAATAAAATTTTATATATCAATAAAATTTATTAAATATATTTTATAATTTTATTTTTTAAAATAAAAATATAAAATTTTAAAATATTTTTTATTTAATATACTATTAATAAAAAAATTAAAAAAGAGAATATATAAGAAAAATAATATTAAAAAATATTATTAATGAAATATTATTTTTATCAAAATATTTTATATTTTAAATTACTGAATCTTTTTTAAAAATATTTTATAATTTAAGATGGATCCATCTCATACAAGACATTTTCAAGAAGCCCTTGTTTGATCTAGAACAGGTGTTAAGTAGCTTTTATAATTATTTTTTTAATTATAACCTAAAGGCCTAAACCCAATTTCATTTATTATATTTTAAAAAAATGATGTGTATGAATAATTTTTAATGATAATGTAATTAAAAATATATAAAATATTTTAACAGATTAAAATTTTATCCAAATTTTTTTAGAGTCATGAAGTAGTTATTAACACTCTATATTATAATTAAAAGAAAGTAATTACTCACTTATTTTTAATTTCACATTAAGAATAAAATTATTTTTATGCTGAATATTAAATGCAGTGGTTGTCGTGATCATATTGAAAAGGTATAATTATTTGTTCGGTAAAAATTTAATTGAAGGTCATATATGATATATTATGAGTTATATTGATGTTTTTTTTTTAGAGCTGAATTGATACAATTACTAGAATAATATGAAGAAGAACATGATACAACTTGTAATCAGAATCAAGAAAATTAGCAGAAATAAATAACCCTGCGGTCAATGGATTGCTAAGAGGGTTTGAATTTAGCCTAGGAATGAGAATGACCAAGTCACGGCTTGAAATTGGCACAAGCAAATAGTGGAGTTTCGTGCAAACCCAAAACAGATCTGGATTCAATGATTGTATTTGATATAGACATTGAATATATATAATATCTAAATCATTAAAATTTAAATCAATGATTCTAAATTCATACCTTATTTAAGATCTCAGAAGCACCGGTACGTAAAAATAGCCAGCGTGTTCGTGTCGGATACGTATTCGACACAGACATGTGTTCAGGATGCATAAATGACGCATCCCTTTTCCCAATTTCTAGCAGACGCGGGTCGAGACGGTTTGACATAGGCAGACACGGGTCAAACGCAGGCGAACACGAAACTTTGCGTTTTTCACTTCTTTTTACTTAGTCCCAACTCCAAAAACCCGATGCCCTAAGATTCTCAACTCCATTCGACCCCTTTCTCGCGTTTGCTGCTTTGTCGCTTGCTGCCTCATCGATCGTCATCGTTCTTCAACTCTACGTTTTCACTTCTCACTTCGCACGCTACCTCACCGTCTGAACTCTACCTCAACGCCTTTGACAGTCGTCGTTCTTCCGTCTTCAGCTTTTAATCTTGGTAATTTATCTTTAGTTCTTTAGTCTTCACGTATGGGTGCTTGAGCGACTCTTTTGCTTGTCACTTCTTTTACTCTTCTGTGCTGAGCCTTCAATCTTGAATATTTATTGATATTATTACATTATTAGTTAATGAATATTTATTACTCAATTTTACTGCTGAACCAAGAGAGAGAGAGGCAGAGCAACATGATCAGGTTTTCTAATTTAATACTAAATTATTGATTTAATTTTTTTTATTTAGATGAATTATATTGCTGAGTTAAACATTGATTTATTTTAAATTATATTTTTAGACATCCAAATATTTAATATTTAATTATTTATATAGCCGTACCCGTATCGTAAAATTTTAAAAAATAGCCGTGTCCATGTATCATATCGTATCATACCCGATACTCGTATCCATATCGGTGCTTCTTAGTTTAAGATTAATAAATGAGTGACTTTATCTGAACAGTTGATCTGAATTTTAATGGTTTAAATACTCCAGATATTTAATGACTGTATTAAGTACAGTTATCGAATTCAAATCCTAAATAATATACATTAATTGGTTCTTAATTAAATGGAAGAAGAGGAAAGAATGAAGTCGGAGACGTAGTAAACTTCTCCGGATCTACCACATTTGAATTTAAAACTGAACAGTGTTTTAGAAGTGAAGCTGCCATGGTTGACTTCTCTAGATCTGCCATTGTCATTCCTCATGAGCTAGGTCACAATTTTTTCTTTTGAAGTGTAAGGAGTATTATAATATTTTCATAATTTATATTTAATTGTAAAATAAAAAAATAAGTATCCCTTATATATATTATTCCATATTAAACATAATTTTAAACTGTCATTCTCATTCTCACTCTCACTATCAATATTAATGTCAGTCTCAATCTCAATCTCAATTCTAATTTTAATATCTTTAAATTAAAGTCTTTGTATCAAATAAGGCCTTATTGTATTATACTTCTGCTTATTGATATAGTGCTTGTATTTGCAATAAAATGGATTACATTGCCCACTGATTTCTACCTCTGCTCTGTTCTGTTCTTAAGCAAACACAGCAATATTTCCAACCTGTAGCAATTCCATACCATTGATGACGGTGATTCAATCCTGGACAGTAACTGCTGGAGGTGGGGCCGCGACAACATCGATAAAAAATACTACAAAAATCACCTTATGGGAGGCCACGTGTTGAATGGGGCACGTCTCGTCTTCTTAGTAACCAGTAAGGTTACCTAACTATTTTTATAGCCCAAGAAATGGAAATTGTCCAACGTGGGTGACGGATAAATCTGACAAATTTTGACTCAAGCCACAAACGCCAACGACCAGTGTGACTCCAAAGTACCACAGTACAGTGTCCAGACCCAAAGTTAAAACCCCAGACTTTAACCGATGGGGAAATCAATGTTCCTTCAGAAGCACAAGTAAAGCTCGGCAACCACAATAATAACAGCAAACGAAAGAAAATTTTTATATCTATTCTGTCTATCGCTGAAGATCAATCTGCAGGTGGTTGCTGATATATTAAATGACCTCGCACCATTCAGTTACATGACTTTCTTCTTCCCCACATTTACCAAGCAGGGTCCACTGAATCTAACAATACTAATTCTGCAGAGAAGAAATTTCAAAAAATAGACACGGTTGCTGTGTTGGTGAGGAGGGTTTGAATCTATGAATGAACGACCAGAGTCACAGCTTGAAATTGACACATTCAAACACATCAGTTCTGTCCCAACTATACATTCATTTTCTTCTTCCTTTAAATGCACGGGTTGGTGTAGGCATGTACATGAATAAATAGCATGGTCATGAATTTGAACAAACACGAAATGGGCAGTCATAAATACTCATTCGAGCCACAAACGTGCGATGCACGCATCTATTTCTGGACTTGCTATACTTGAGAGAAATTATTTTATACCCAACTCATATATTCACTAACTCCTTCTTTAATTGGTTGAAACTTGAAGGAGCCGATTATATTGCAGTTGCTGGCACCCATCACATCTCAAGATCACTCGACGCAAGCTTAGCTGGAAGAGAAACAATAAAGAGAAGAACGAGAAAAAGAACAGAAAAAGATGCGTAGTGATATGTTGTTGCCACAATTGGAAATGGAGATATAGGTTTGAGTTTTTAATTAATAAGAGGTCCAAATCTGCTCGAGTTCTCGAGCGAAATCTTGCTGTCGACCGACAACGATGGTAAGGTGGTCCTTGTCATCGATGACTCTAACGTTGGCACGAGGGATCCTTCTCTGAAGCTCGTAGCTACATTCCAGAGGGATGAGCTCGTCGTCTTTGCCGTGGAAGACGGTGACTTTACAGTTAAGGTTGTCATTGACGGCGTCCAGGTAGGCCTCCATCTTGCCGGCGGTGCCACATATGATGTTGTGGAGAGTGTGCCAGGCTGCGTTGTGAGTGTGGCAGAAGAAACCTTCCAGCAAGAACGTCCTCAACCTGTTGCTCATCAATAATCAAACCAACCCAAACAAAAACCACCACGTTAATATCCAGTAATCTCATCAAGCTCAATTAAATGCCACCTATTCTATTGCCAATAGGAGAAAAAAAAAATTGCCACCTTTTTTACTTCCTCTTCATCATCCCCATCTGTGTCTCTGCTATATCTTCCCATCCTTCTCCAACCCATGACACAGTGTGGCCATCATGCCTATAATAACTCCCTCTATTTAATTCCTTTACCATTTCCTCTTAGCTCTTTTATATCCACGCATTTATTAATACTCAAGTTGTGTGTGTGTGTGTGTGTGTGTGTGGTGTGAGATTTTGAATCCATCTTTTCAATTCTTTGATATACATGACAATTTTTTCACTTCTCATTGGAGAGAATAGATTTGGCCAATGGATCAATCTGATGGCTTAGATAAATCCTCAAATATAGTTAGCACCGTTAACGTTGATTGAGATGGTCAAACTGATCCAACTACTACGAATAAAGCCGGAGAGGACCATCGTCGTGTATGTGTATGTAGAAACGTGGACAAGAGGCAAAAGGATAAGGACTAGAGAGTTTAGTAGATAACCTGTTTCGGGTGATGAGTTTGGTGAGAAATTCCCAGAGGCGGTGGTTCTTGCAGATGACGAAGCAAATCAATCGCGTAATGTGCTCGTACCAGCACGCCATGGACGCCCCGAAGGTGATCGGCGGCCACACGCGCCTCGGCGCCACTCTGCTCATCATGTATTGCGTCGCCTGAGCCGCCGCCGCCTTCGGCACAGGATAAAATGGCTGAAACAGAGATTTCAACATGAGAAAAACAAACAAACATATATACATAATATGAATGCAAAATAAAGAGAGACGATCAGGGAAGATAAACATGTACATACGGGAGCAAGGAGAGTGAGGGACTTGACAGAACGAGGGTACTTAACGGCAAGGGCGAGGGCAAGGATGCACCCCAAAGAATGAGCCACAATGTGGAACGATTGAAGCCTGTAGGGCTCTAACACCGACGTCTCTAGCATCTCTAAATGTTCCCTCAACGTGTACAGAGACTCGCTTGGCTTCGGACTTCTTCCAAACCCCAGCAGATCAACCGCAAACAACCGGTAACTGGACTTCACCTTGCCGGAGAAATTCGGAAACAATGTCTCCGTCCAGAATGACGACGACGATATGAACCCATGTATAAACACCACATCTTCCCCTCCTCTTCTCGTTCCCCCTGAACATATACATACATATATATATATATATATATATCAATCGACCTCAAGTACTATAATCAGTTGAATAAAATATTGTAAATGCATGTGTATAGTTTTGAACCTGTGGTCATGGGTCCTTGAGTTCTGACAAAGAGTTTGCCTTTGGAAGAAGGAGAGATCCAACCCGTGCATAGCTGGCAATCGCAGTCGGACCATCTGGTGGTAGTGGGGTGGTGACAGTACTGCTGTCTTCTTCCGAGCATCTCGACGATGGTGGAGTTGACGGTGAACGACGTGCTATTGTTCTTGCGAGACGAATCATGGAAGCGCTTCAACTGATGCGACAACAATGAAGGACGTGAGAAGAGAGTGTCTGAGATGTCCTCCAACTGCAATACCTTGGAGGAGGTGGTCAGAGACAGGATCTTGGATTCGCCGCCGTGCTCGGACACCAAGATGTCACCTCCTCTCATGGCTTCCTTCGCCGATCCCGGCGAGCAATAGCAAGGCTTCCATTCACCCTCCACCACCAAATCCACCACCTTGAACACCACACACAACACAATATCTAAAAGGTCCAGAATACAGAACGCAACCCAGCTTACTCCTTTGTTTATTACTCTCCCACTCGATGCTACAATCCTCCTCGCTGTGTCCCCCATTTTCTCATATAACTCTGAACTATCTCTGATATATATCACTGTGTGTGTAGTGCCGTTGGGTTTGTTTCAGAAAGCTTAATGAAGAGGAAGAGAGGAGGGGCTCACTCTCTTACTCTACCTAGCTTGCTCTTACACTCGTACACTCTTGCTCGTGTTTCGAGGGTCTGATCAAAGCGTGTGGAAAAGCCTTTCCTAAAACTTAGAGGCAAAAGCAAGAGAAAACCCACCGCAACGCCACGCCTAAAACAAACACATGTACTCCTATTTATTTATAATTTGTTGGCCAGTAAAAGAAAAGTAGTTGGTAGTTGAACCTCCTTCATGGGTCAAGGACTCTATTTTCCTCCCCGCCAAATAATAACAAGGTTCCGCTTAATTAATTTTACATAACCTACGAATCTTAATTTGCCAATAAAATGAACGTGTTTTAGAGTTTGGCAAATCCTATGGAATTAGCTAGTCACTTTCTTGCCACTTCGAAATTACTACATCGGCCACCGTTTTCTATTCCTACTGATTTTCTTGACTTACAATTCATCCGGGGAAAAAAATGAAAAACAAGAGCCTGCCTCATTAATATCAACAGTTACGTAAATTCAAGATTAATAAATGGGTCAATATAAAATTCTAAACCTTTGGTATTGAATGCAATCTGTGTTTGCCACATGAACCACCATGCCTTTAGGCACCGGTTTTAATTACCTGCCACTGTTTTTAAAGCCTCTGGTCAAAGTACAAAGACTTTTTTGATTTCATCTTCCATGTTCTATTTCTTGGATTTCTCAGGCAAACGATTCAATTTTTCCGTTAAATACACTGACACATGAACTGAGAATGTGCAGATGCAGCCTAATAGTGTTTGAATTTTTTTTATTAGGGCGACTACAGCACAAGAGAACGAGGTTATAACAAGAAGCGTATGTGAGAGGTGATCAGTACTGAGGGTTGCCTGATATTTATTGTGTTCTGAAACTAAAAGGACAACGGGCAAGGGTGCTTATATCATACTCCTGATAATTTATACATTGAAATGAGGCGTCTGAAACGCCAAAAAAAGTTCGGGGGCTAGTCAGATATCGGCCAAATAGATTGATTGAGGAGCTCAACGCAATTTCTAATTTATTTTGAATAAATGATGAAATTCACAGCCCGTAATAACCTGACTTTTGAACCTACTTCACTCCCAAACTATAAGGTCATGGCTAGGCTAGCTAACCTGTAGTAGGCACAAGACCTCTTAATAGTGTGACAAAAATTACACGAGTTTCTTTTTGGGCCAGCAGATTACACACATCGATCCAATATTAAAGGAAGATTATATATACGCGTATAACGATCTTTTCACCGCTCGTTATATATGGAGTTTGATCGTGGTTTGATTCATTTTGCATAGAGTAAAGTTGAGTCCTGGATCCTTGAAAATCTTAACTAGACGATTTTATTAATCAAAGTACCAACGTGTTGCTGTAAGATTGACTTCGTGCGAGGTTAATAGAAAAGAAAAATAGGAAGGAGGGAATTGTAATTAAGGGGATTTGTGGAGATATATTGTGTGAAGGAGGTGGCAGATAGTGATAGATATATTATCAATTTATCATAGCATGTGGTGTGTCAAACATTGGAATTAACGATGAATATGTGAGAGATACTATTGCCTGGGAATATTTGGAAAAGCTTTAACATGAATGATGCGAGAAGGGATTAATAATGCAACAACAGGATAAGGTTGGGGACTTGTTTGTTGGAGAAGAAATGCGTTAAGAAGATGCAGATTGAGAAAGGACGACTTCTAAGATTTTGATTTCTCGCTTTTGAAAGCCATGCGATTTGTGCTCCTCTTGTCATTTTGTCTCTAACCCACTCATTATCAACACCTTCATATTTTTTGATAATGTTTCCATTTACAAGACCTAATTTTAAGTTTGATCGGTCTACGTAACCATAACCTTGTTTGTTTGGTTTGCGATCCTAAACGCATGTCCAAGATGAAGTTGGGATTTAATAATCATGAAGAGGTAGAGATTGAAAATCATGTATAATACAAAGTAACTTTAATTATAAGGACCGGATCGGATTGGATAGTTTAACTGTCAACCGGAAGCGCTAATGTCTCAGTTTAGACCCCAAAAAAAAAATTATGATTAAATTGGGTTTGATCGAAATTGAACCAAAATCAGATTTGACCCATAAACTAGAAAGATTTTTCCAAAAACTAAATGGGTTTGAATCTAATAGAGAAAAACTAAAAAAATTTAGAAAAAACCCAGAAAAAAAAGTAAACTATTCTAAAAGTCATCTTCATTTTTGGGTATTTCACGTATATAAAATATAATCTGGAACCTTTTTCTTAGAAAAATGTTAACAACTCTATGTGCAAATGCAAATATTATTGAATTCACTTATATTTGATTCAATGGCCAAGATCCACCTATATTTACATAAAGTTATAATTTATAGTGGCATTGATTTATGGTCAATGTTATTTTATTAACAACTAGACATAAAATAAATTTATTATATTTATATATATATTATATTTACATTTAATGTTATTTTTTTTAGAAAAAATGACAGTAAAATCTCACCAAAATATGTAAATGAAAATTATGTCTCTTAAAATATCATAATTCTTTTGAAGTCTATAGGTACTTCCCTTATTTCTATATGTAAGAGAGAAAAAATGTATCACATAATTTAAGAAAGTTGGTTAACTATAATAACTATATTTGAAATAAAACAATTGGACTAAAATGTCCATGTTAATTAACATAAGTATGCATTAATTATGTTTTGTTAATGTAAATTATGAGGAGTAATTTAAAAATATGTAATAAATGTTTATTGAAATAGATACTTATATAACAAGAAGTAAAAATGGTAATTTTTCCTACAAATAAAAACGGAGGGACCATCTTTTTAAAATTAATAATTTTAGGTTAAATGACTAAATTATTCCTTGTTTAAAATAAAAAATAATGAGTTCATGTGAGAAGTTGTGATCTCTTATTCAATTTTTGCTATTTATATAATAAAATTTGTGATTACTTAAATAAAAATTGTAATAAGTTATTTTTTAAAACGTGAACTTCAATGATAAAAGAAATTTCATAATAAGAAGTTATAATTTTTTATTCAATTTTACAATTCACATAATAAAAGTTATGATTACTTAACAAAAATTATGATTTATTATTTTTTAGAATGTGGACTTCAATAATAAAAGAAATTTAATGTGAAAAGTTATTATTTTTTGTTTAATTTTTTTAATTTATAGAATTAAAGTTATGATTACTCAAACAAAAATTATGATTAGGATCACTTATGTTTAGAATTTTTTTTATTAATCACAAAAAAACTTTTACATAGAAGCTGTGATTTCTTTTTTAATTTTTGTGATTCACAAAATAAAAATTGTAACTTAGAAATAATGGAGCTTAAAATTTTTATTTTAAGTAAGGGGCAATTTAGTCATTTAACTTAAAATTATTAATGTTATAAAGGTATTTAGGGATTTTAAAAAAAATTATGAGATTTTGAAAAACTTGCTTGTTATTTATATATTTAAGTGGATTGTGTTATTATTTTTTTATTTTTTATTTAATTATTATGTCATCATTTTGATTATAGTTTAATTGGTGATATCATGAGGATCGAGACCTGTTAGACTATCCGGTTTTTTAAACATTTGTAGTTAGTATGTATAAATATTTTAATATATAAAGCTCGCTTGATCGATATTGTTTGGTTTTCAATATTTGTATTATCGTTAGTGGCCAAAATTTTTTTTTGAAGCCCATCAATTATAATTTATTAAAAATCAATTTATTGCAAACATGATCAGTTAGTTGCCGGAGAATAGCATGAAAAAGATTCCCACACCTCCTACATCTATATCAGATCTGTTTATATTGTTGTGATTTGCCAATGTGACTGTAACCTAGTGGCATTATAAGCTCCCCTCTAATTGAGACGTCGTGGGTTTAATCTGCTTGTAATTTCATGCCATTAATACCTGCCCATCTAATTAAAAAATATTATTGTGATTTAGAATATTACGTGGACTTATGATAGTGGGCCAATCTACTTTCAACCAAGATATATATATGGGTTGCCTCACTTTTATGGTTGGTGCATATTTCCTCTACTTTTCGCAGGTGAAACTGATCGAGCCGGTCTATTGTTTTAAACTAACAGTTTAACACTATTTTTTTGGACGAACAAAGATTGTCCCGTTATTAATTACTTGATCATAATTCACAAAATCATAAAACAAACCTCATTGCTAATATAATAATTTTATTAGTGAACAATTTATGAACACTTTTTTAAATACTTTTGAACTTAAAAACTTATTCTAATATTCCTGGTGAGTTTCTAGTTCCAACTCACCTCAATTTTTCTTTATTAAAAATAAAAAACGGAACACTATCTTCTAGAGAAATAATCTTCAAGCTTTGGGGTGGGAAGATTATTGGTTGACTCGATAAGCTTATTATTTTCATATTTTTATTGGTGAATTATTTTCAAATATTTTACTTACACGTGAAAATTCATCCAAAAAATTGCCACCAATGTATTTTATTTGTTAGGACATGCAATTAATTGTTCGAGAAGACGCCTCCATCGCCGGGCCTGGTTACGTGTTTGTTTTGGTCACTTGTTTAGAATACCTGCCTATCTATTATGCCAAGCCTATCCCAAATCAAGATAGGAGGATTTAAGGGAGGCTCAAATTAATTTGAATCCAATAATATTAGAATTTTTTTCAAATAGAAAATGTATCATCAACGCTATTGCATTTCTATTATTAGTATATGAATTTATCAAAGTTTCTAATTAAGCTGATGCAACTCACTTACTAACGCAGACAAGTGTGTTGGTGGATGTGGCCGGTTAAGGTTCTTACACAAAAATGTTTTTAATTACGTTCTCAATTTCAAGCCATGTAAATTACTTCTCCTGATTTTATTTATAAAATATTTTTTAGAAGTAATTTTTTATTTAAAATATAGGACACTGTATAATAATTGAATCAATTTTTTTAATTTTACCTTTTATTGATTAATGTGAAAATATTAAATATAGTTGTATTATAATTTAAAACTAATGATACAAATAAAAGTATATCTCATTTTTTATGATATCAAAAAAAAAATTAACTTTTCTTAATTTTTGTAAAACAATTGAGAGTATCCTTCATTAAAATTAATGTACGAGAGAGATAATCG